CCTATTAATATCACGCACAGGATACAAACACAACAGTAATCCTCAAGACTGTTGCGTCTTGAGTTAGATTTCTTTTACAATAACAAGGCAGTCTTTGAGACTGGACACAAGTCCAACATGCTATTTACAGTTCACATTTTGGAGATGTCTTTTTTTTGAAAGTTTTTTTTTTTCCAATCCATCCCAGCTCTTCTCTTTATGAATAAGTACACAAACAAAATTATTGAAGCCAAAATCAAGGTGCAAACAACAGTATTGTGCTTCCAAAAAGATGTCATGTTGAATTAAATATATACTCGTCTCTGATGGCCTTGGTGGGTCAACATGGCTCAGTTTTACTTTCTGTGGTTCAAACCATTAAAAACAGAAGCAAGACAGAAAATCTGAATTCTCAAGTGGAATTTTAAGTTCTGCTTTTATTATTAAAAGGGAGTCACCATGATGAAAGAGAAAAGTCAGATAGGTTGATGAAATATATAATTTCCCATGTAGTAAGACAATTATGTAGAAAAATCCCACTGCTATGCCATGAAGTTCTTGGGACCTGACAGCCGGCAACACTATGGTTGAAAGTCAGACTCAATATCTTTAGCACCAGTGATTTAAGTCTAAAATCTCCAGTTATAGATGGTTTGTAGATCGTGATGCTTCAGTGCACTGCAGATTTTACAAGTTGTCCTCCTATATTGTGGTTTAGGTCTTATGTCCATGAGATTAAGGGATGAAAAATAAATTATTCATAATAAAATAGGAGTGGTATTTCCTCCAATGAATGAAAAAACAAAACAAAAAAAAACATGCTGTAAATGGTAAAATAGTTTATGGTATAAAAGTATATTCCATCATTAGTGCAAAGAAGTGACTACATACTTTAAGGGCCAGTAACCGTAAAAACATTTCTAATTAAAGTAGGGAATCCTCCTGTTGGAAAATGAACTTGAAAGTGAAAAATCCTGTTCTGTTAAGGATCTGCAATAACGTTTTCTAATGTATTGTGTTTTTCTCAACAGCTTCTGTTACGTAGACAATGAAACGTTAACGCGCACTTTCTGAACTCCAATTGAAATAATTGTCATGTCTGAGGTTCTACTTTTACTATAATCACAAGCTTAGGCTGAGTGTGTACCCACTTAGACCTGGCAATCCTTTCGCCAACCAACAGCTAAAGCAGAGATGGACAATGCAAGGAATTCTATACTTCCTGTGAAAGTCTACATATAATTGGATGATAAGCTCTGTATAGACTTCTGAAAAAGACAGTAGCCAATAACAGAAGCTGGGGGAAAAGCCATTGGTCTATAAACACAATACTGTTGCTACAGTTGCACAAAAAAGGAACTACATTTTTTGGTGGCCATAGAAAATTATTGAAGGCTTAATAATGGATTAGATCCTCGACAGTGGCAGCAAATTACCAAATGACTTGGGACGTAATGGTATACATTATACTAATTTATAACCAAACAGAATATTAGCTGATAATGGCCTTCCAAGGTAGCTGGAGGACTTCAAGCTCCACAACTAACCTTCAGACCATGAGCATGGAAAGCTTCATTACTCATCAAAATTCTTCCAGTTAAACAATTATCACTTTATTTAATTTTGATTCCATTACCAAAATGTTATAGGTCTAAATCAGCCTCTCTCAACCAGGGTGTCATATTTTAAAACGATGCTGTGACTGAAAAAAAAGGTTGAGAAATGCTGGTCTAGATCTTTATCTAGATTATATGTATACCCGACATGGCATCTAACCCTTCCACACTATCTAAAATTTAAAAAATTAAAAATCCAGTTACATACACTTTAAATGCTCTATTATAATTTTGGAAATATACTGGCCCTTAAAGTTTGAAAAACTTCACCATCAGCACTAGGTTATGTTGTGAAAGGTTAATATGCACTAAGAATCACAGGTTTTACACTAAGCAATAACATACAAATAAAACACTTTAAAACAAGTATGTCTGCCTAACGACAAAAATATGATTATAATCCTATAGTTACATACAGCAGGGTAAGGGAAGTAAATGTGGTACGTTGGTTACAGGAGGTAGTAAACCTTGAGAATTAATCAATGCAATCAATTTACAGGCTCCCTAGTAATTGTAACTCGTATCCTTATCCATGTAACCAAGCAAAAAAAGAGTGACATGACCTTATTTAATAACGGTGCAAAAAGCCAGTGTGGTAGTAACCTTCAGTGAGTCTAACTTTAAATATGATATCACTAAAGGGATGAACCTTGGCTGGCTGCTCATTGTTGGTGAACTTTGTATGATGTCCTTAAATAAGGCCATGGTTTCAAGTTCCATGTTCAGTATCCATAATTACATAGGAAAGTGCTCATGCATCATGCAAGATGTTTGCACAACACACATGGGGTTTCTACCATGGGACACTTTTCAGCTGGAAAAGGTATCTAAAATATAGAGGTATAAGAACATGAAAGGGTACACAGAGAAACATGCTGGATTGTGTGCCATCATGTAGGGGGTAAATACTAGGCTTTAAAACTAATTCTACAAAAAAAATTAAAAACAATCAGCTGTTTGTAGACATAGGTATCTTAAAATAAAACCAAGCTTGATGTTTATAGATCTTTGGCAGTTGAGCTATAGGATATCCATAGAACATCCCATCTAATGCTATGCTTAGACGAAATAAATAATTCCTGCCCAACGCCATAAAAAACTCTTTGATGAGCTTGCATGGGGTTTAAACACTGACTGTATTTCCATTGGAGAGAGTTCCCCTTGTTTTCTGTTCCGTCTGGCACCTACAATGTGGACAGGATATGAAAGGAAATATCCCCCAAGACAACAGAGGCAGCTATAAATACAGAATCAATGCTTTGATTGCTGTCAGTACACGCATTGCAGAGATTTAAGCTGTCTTTCTGGTCTGGCATGCATCAAACAGCAGGAAGTAAGGGGTGTCTCCCAGATGGGGACACCAACAGCTTTATGGATTTCCTCTCTTGAACACAGCAATATGGAACCTGCTATCGCTGACTTTTCTTTAACATGCTTGCTTCAACGCTGTGGTCATTATCTTCGCTTTACGACCTAGAGCAAAGCAACAGGTTTACTTTACTGACCCCCTCCACAGCAGCTTGCACTCGCCCTTCCTTTGCTCCTTGGTACCACTCTGTTCAGCTGCCAGGAGCCAAAAAAAAATCTGGTACCTATGCATATGGAGGAGCATGGTACTCATTCCCCTTCCTCTCGTGATGTTGCTTGGCAATTGGCCCAGCACTGTTAGACCAGAGCTTGAGCCAACACAGGTCTTCCTAATTTTACTCCAGAATGGAACATTGGGTGATTTGAGGAATGCTATGTGCTGCTGGGCAGAAGGGCAGTACAACAAACCTGTTACAGGTCAACCTTAAGGAGACACAGACCAGGAAAAAACAACTTGTTTCATGGCAGTGACCACCATAAGGATGTCACCCCCTGAATCATGCTTGATAAAAAAAAAAAAAAAGCCCTGGCAGCTGCCATATTCAGTCAGTTCCCTGTAACTAGATTTGACCTGTACTCTAGTAAGGAGACCCACAAAACTGTGCAACTGTGGACTGCACACAGGCTTGAGATCCTTGGCCCTACAGAAATGGCTTGTATGGCAGTAGACAGCCGGAAAGTACAGGCTGCTAAAACCTCTATGTTGGAGCCTGATAGCTCAGCTTGTGCTCAGCACTCAGTTTGTGTCTTTAGTATTTACCCATAGCTGATTTTTCCATTTAAGATTTTCCTATAACTATCTTGTTGCCCCAATGGAAGGGCTAAAGTGGTCATTAAATTGTCAAAGCATCAAGAAATCCAATAAGTGGTAATTAAAGAAAAAAAAAAAAAAAAGTCTAAATCAAATCCTCTGCTTTAAACCGGAAACCAAAGTTCTATGTGGTTTGAGGTAACTGGCAAGAATCCCATCTTCTGAATCTTACCACAACGTAAAGTAGATCCAATTATGGCAAGCCGTTTGATTCTATAGGGATAAAATCAATAATGCTGGTTTTAAAGCAACAATCAGTAAAATATATTAAAATAGCGAAACGCTGTATGTTTTGGATTGTCCATAGAAGCTCTATGAACGGGTAACAGAGCTTTAAGGTTAGCTTTAATTTTTGGTTATTCCTTAAGACATAGTTTAAAGGATCAGTCAACCTCATATATAGGCTACAAATATGTAAGGGAACTTTTCACACAATGCACAAATATGTATGTAAAAGTTCCCATAGTCAAGGACAACCTAAGCTAGTTGGCACTGAATTCACTTTTGTTATGATGAAGTGTGGCTCATTTCTGTCATCCATTTTTAGCTTAGCACAGGTTGCCTCCTATATATATCAGTGGGACCTTTGGAAGGGACGTTAGCAGTCTGAAGGAAGTTGCCAGTTGGGTTTTGTTTTTTTCTAGAAACGTATTTTAAATCAAAATCTACTCTGATCATAATTTTGAAGATGCAACAGTTTCCATTCTGAGTAGATTGAGGATGGCTGGATCCTCTGCCAGGACGTCAATGCTCTTCAGGGCCCCAGAGAGAAGACTTTGCTCATCATCTGCATGGCAGTGGTACACTGAGCTTGGGTTTTCCCACAAGCTCCTGTCCTCTGTTCTACAAGCACTACTATTGAGTCCAAAAAACCCTTGCCCGGGCCGGTTACTGGCCAGCTTTGGGAGAGCGCTTCTTGCCAGGGTCCTAAGCAGCACTAAATGTCCAACGGTTGATCAAGCCTTGTTCCAGTCAAAACACTAATCTGCTTTTGGTAGGGCTAAACATTCAATGCTCTTTTATATAGTCTAATGTGTAATTTATGTTTCCTAGATCACGGGTCATTGGTTTTTTAAAATGATATACATAACACTGACAACAAAATATCTACATTAAACAATATTACAAGCATATAAAAGGCAGCCACGAAATGAGTAGAAAAAATGTTATGTATTCCACTGCATTATTAAAACAAATTGCACATTTTAGACAAAAACATTTTAAAAAATTGACTTCCTTTCATAAATGCAGACAAAAAAAAAAAAAAAGATTAAAAAAACAAAACTAAAACTAAAGTGACTTTATGGCAATGAACCACAGCTATTTGAAGGGCCTGATATCAAATTCAGGTGATAAAAACGCTGCAATGAGAATGCTGCATGTAAAACAAAACTTGAATTCCACGTTGAGGTGAACGATTTGTGATATCCCAAGACACTTGTGTTTGACACTTCCAAGCGGTTTGCACATAGGAGGTGGGGGCTTGAAGGCAAGGTTCAAAGGCTGGGGGTGGTCCAGGAATGGCGACATTTATTTAGGGATGCATTGACCCACACTTTAGGAACACAGCAGGTTGAGATCTCTCCGAAGACTGTTGAATCCTGCGCTTAGTGCACAGGGTCTGTTTCCGGGCGGCTAGTGGCCAAATACTTTGCTCGCATGCTGGAGGTGTACTGTAAAAAGACACAACATAATTGATTAGAGACACAAATTTGATTAAATTCCCCTCCCTCTTCCCCACCACCAACACATGCCACTAAAAGGAATAAGCATAGTAAAAGAATGTATGCATCTTATTATTGCCTAATAGCCATTCATATTAATATATTTAAAATTGTTGTATCATACAGTAGCCCTTATCTGCATCTAAAAAGGTCACTTTGCTGAAAAATGGGGATGACAGTCATGTCATCAGTGGGGATGACATATCAGCTCCGGTGATCCCAGGTCCTCCTGCCTTCCACGCCCACTAGGAAAGGGGGATTATAAAGACTAGGTGGGACCAATGCTCCATGGTGTAGGAGGCAAAATCTGGAATTGCAATGGTGACAGATTATACAGCTGAGAGGTACCCAGAGACATACGGAGTCAGTGGGTAATTCAGATTTGGGTAGATCAACCCTTCAACAAAACAAACACCTTAAAAACAAAACAAAAAACAACTGGGTTCAGCTGCTGGGAGTGAAGAAAGGAAGATGTGACCTGAACCTTACACAAAAGCCTGAGTTCTCTCTCCACCCCCCCTCCCCCCATACCCATGTGGCAGCACTGAGTGCCTGAGAAGCCATTCACCAGAGCAGTCAAATGAGAAAGCAAAAGGAGTCACATGTTCCCACCACACCTGGAAGTACCAGAAATGTTGCTTTGCGCCCAAACTAAAAGATGAAAAACTAACGAAGGTACGTATGTGTTGCTGGGTGCAGGGATCAGTCATTTCGTCCATTGGGAAGTCACACAAAGAACACCCAAACTGCTCAAAATTAAGCCAAGCAATTTGTGCTTGAAGCAAAAGAAAGTGGGATTTTGGGGAAGAATTTGAAGTCTTAACCTGCCAATGCCCAACAAAAACTCTAATTTCAGGTAGACTTGCCCTTGAAGGATGTTTTTTCCCCCATACGAAAGTCTAGGAGAAAATACTACACTTGCATCTTCTACAGCAAGAACACAGTACATAGACAGCATCAACGTTGCCTAAATTCCACGGGGACTAGGTGCACTATGTATATCAATAAGATAATTTCATGGCGCAGTTTTGCACTAGATGTTAGTGCAAATGAAATACAAAAACCGCACAACCAGCCAATGGCACTGCAGAGGCTGACATTGCAAAATTAATCCAGTGTCCATTTTTTTTTTCTACAAAGCAGACAGCCCCTTAAACTAGAATAGACGGTAACTACTTGTTGGAATGATGCAATGTTTATAGATTTAACATTTTGGGACACAACTTGGCCCTCTCAGAGAAACACATTAAAATAAAATGAATGAATTTAATGAAAAAGAATGAATGATTTCTTGCCAGATTTACATTTTTTACATCACTTGTAAGGATTCTAGCTCATAATTACTAGTATTTTAGAATAATGTTGGCCGTGTAACCTTGTCATGCACAATGCTATCTCCAAAGGCCATAAATAATCCATAGCTTTTATTACATTTAGTAATAAACTAAATAAAATAAATTATCAATAGTTCAAGACTTTTTAAATGTTCTAAATGTTTAAATGTTCTACATCTACCATTATAAAAACTAGTTTTTCACACAATAAGAAAGGAGGATTCCATGGGACAACTGAATAATGTTAAAAACTAGCAACATTTGCAAGGGCTAGAGCCGCTAGACCAGGGATAGCCAAACTCCGGCCCTCCAGCTGTGGTGGAACTACAAATCCCATGAGGCATTGCAAGATTCTCACAGCCACGACTCCCGGACAGAGATGCATCATGGGATTTGTAGTTTCACCACAGCTGGCGGGCCGGAGTTTGGCTACCCCTGCGCTAGACCATCGCGCCGCAGATCTCCAAATTCTATAACTGTTTCCTGGGGATCAAAGATGGTAGACAACAACCGCTTCCAACAACATTTTATTACAGGTTTTCCTCTGCTACACCACGAATGGGCACTTCATAATGATCCATCCATATAGCTAGAATGTCAGTTTGTACTGATGATGCCAAGCCCTAGACCTACACTTTGGAAGCACTAAGGGGAAGTTGGGACCTTCCCCTTAGTGCTTTCACTGAAATAACTCTTTGCTCACTGAAAGAAGAAGGACCATCTCAAGTTTTGAACCAAGCAACTTACTTTAAAGTGATTCTGTGCTTTGCCTATGTAGATCTCCATAGGTGTATATAGAGTACTTACCTTCCTTTTGCTCTACCTTAAGAGTCATGTGTAAGCTATGAATCACTGGAATCCAAGCTCACACAGCACTATGGACGTCCCTGTAAGAGTGCCAATTGGCCCAGCCCTGGACGAGTCAAATCCTCTGCATACCCAAATTATCGGGTACTTCTACAGCACTTGGTGCTGAACACAATGGCGGGGAAGCAATGGAAAATTAAGTTCCACTGGGGATAGGGGTATTAAAGAAATCCTCTTACTTTAAAGATACACTGACTGTTACTTTGCCCATTTAGAGCAAAGTGTAAGTATTTCCTGATAGCCCACACTCCAGTAAGGTATACATGTTCCCCCATCGCCTTCCTGCTAGAAGTTCACCCTGGCTAAGCTACAGTGCCAGAGCTTACCTGGAAGGCCAGATACGTAGAAGCAATAGAGTGAGGGCTCTAACGTAGTGAGGAGGCTGCATAAAAGCACAGATAAGCGAGTATGCTTTTTATTTTTGAGGGTGTGGGGTTGGCAATAAGAAGACACTACCATTTTGCTCTAAAGAGGCAAAGTTAGAGAACTATGTGGTTAAGGCTTTTCCCCATAGTTCTCCTTAGGGTAACGGGAGGACACAAACTAGCGTCCTCCCGTCACCCTAAGCTCAGTATACCGCGAGCTACAGCTCGCGGTATACTGAGACGCCACAGTATACCGCGAGCTACTGCTCGCGGTATACTGAGACGCTGAAGCGGATCCCGACAATTATGTCTGGATCCGCCCAGCTCCGTGAGTGACAGCTAGCTGTGCCTATCTAGAGGCAGAACCAGCTGTACCCACCCCCTCCCGATCCACCAGTCAGCGATGGCGGATCAGAGCGGGGGGAATCCAGACCCTCCCCTGTCACGGCAGAGAGCTTTGACAGGACCGAGAGGTGAGCGAACGCCGGTATGTGTTCGCTCACCTCCCGATCTACTGAGCCGACCTGTGACAGTCTCATTGTCACAGGTCGGCTAGAACTATGAGGTGAGTGAAAAGCACTTGCCTCATAGGCGTCTCTTTAGCAGTCTATTCACCAAACAAGTTAAATGTAACCTTAGGTTGGCTGAATCACCCACTGACTATTTTTATCACTGGGCAACTCCTGTGGGGAGGTCTTCGCCATACCCGACTATGGGGAATCACATATCCTACAAGATTCGGAGAAGTAAAAGAAAACAAATGCAAAATCTAACTGGGGGACAATTTTGTATGACAGGTTTTTTGTTGGGTTGAACTTCTGATCACAATCTCCTGTGCAAAGTTGGCCTACCAGATGGGTAGAATAAAGCTGGCCATACACTGGTAGATTTTCAAATGAAATTTGATGCGAAAAGTCTCATCAAAACATTTGACAATACCATTGGAACAAATGGAGTTTGTCGGTTAGAATTTCAAATTTTGTTTAATCACTATGGTCCAAATTGATTGTCAATTTGACTTTTAGAAAATCAAATGAACGCTTCGACCCTTTGAACAACAAAAGGAGAATAAATCTTGCTTCTACTCAAAGTTCAAAATTATTCGGTCTAATGTTTGTCAGGCGTCTTCACAATGCTGGGTGTCTCCACTAAGCATCCTTCATAGACAGATCTATTTTTCACATTCTTCTTTGATTACAACTAAACTTTTACTAATTAACCTTCACTGTTAGTCAAAAAGATGACATAGGAAAGACAAACAATGGAAATATTTTGACTGTTCCCCAAGCTCCAGAAATCTATGCTTCTGAAATAACCTAAAATAATATAAAAAGAAAAAAAAAATGGAAGTATGAAAAACAATGAAGGGGGAAATGACAGGATATCCACGCAATGGTCATTGTTCTCTGCAGAAATGGAGGTCAATGGATTAACACCTGTGAAGTGGAAGGAAACAAGAGAGAACAGCACAAACAGGTTTAGAAAACCTCCAAGCCCCCTAAATGACATCAACAGGACAACAGCAAAGGGTAGATATTGGCAAGCTGGGCATGCGTTAAGCAGGCACGTTGCAGCAAAGCTTTACTGGTCGGCTAGTGTGGGTGGTAGCAACCCAAGTAGAATGAAGCACAATAAGCAGCCAGGCACAGCACAAGCACATACACTGTGGATCCAGTGCACAGGGTTAGGCAAGAATGAGGCAGTTGTGTTGTGGAGCAGAGTGTGATTTATGTGCGAGTGTCAGGGCAGCTGAAACGTGATCATGAGGATAGTTTTCCTACTGCTGAACCAAAAGGTGGGCCCATTAATGTACACGTTAATGTACATGGTCAAGAGCTGATCAGCACAATGCAGAGAGCAGGGAAAAACTTCCATAGGCCACAACTAGAAATGTTCAGGAAAGTTAAGCTGGCCATGGACAGTTTGGGGCCTCCTATCACTTTTCCCCGAACAGAGGCTCCAAAATCTTTAAATATAAACGCTGTGGCACTCTTAAACAGGTGTAGATTGCCCATATCATGGGGCACAGCAGAAGTATTCTTCTGAGAACTGCATTTATACACCTGTATCTTTAATCTCAGCCAGCTTATACCCGACACTGACTTAATATTGGAAGTAGGTGTAAGACTTCTTTGGTTGTCCCACAACAACCTCACATATGGCAGCTTAAAGCACAATTTTAAATGTTGGCTATGACACATTGACTCTGGTGCTCCTGGTTTTAGCCCTTGTCCTAAAACCTTTTACACATTAAAACAGGCTTGCCTAACTTTAGCAGACATTGCCTGAAGTTAACAAAAGCTTATACTGAAAAAGCATTTATACTGAAGTTAACAAAAGCTTATACAACTTAAAACATTATCTAAACATCATACACCCAGCG